TTACATAAATGGATTCCATCTTGCTAGATCTAGACTTGAGACTATGAGGATCCACTGAGGGTGCAAATTTGTTGAAAATTACATGGTACATGAATACCATGATAGTTCAAGAAATAGCCATTAAATTTGAACAATTCCCAAACTTAAGGATAAACTAGAAGCAGAATTAAATCCATGGCCTATCATATTTACGTAAGATGGTTGACCAAAATCCGAATAGAAACCGTGGCTGGACAAGGACATGATTCGGTTGCTTGGTCTACCAATCTAAGTTCATTTAAAGAAATGAACCTTTTGAGTTATCTGGAACCCTTAAGGAAATGAAACTTTTGGTAAGTTTGATGATACAGAGTCTCAGTTTCCCAGTCAAGTTGGAACCCCTTAAGAAACTGTTCCACGGGATGCTACAAGAGTCTTTACATCTGCTCACTTGAGAAGCTTTGGTACATTATACATACGTGTTTGGACCACTATGCTCTAATCTATTAAGAAAATTGATAAACTTGTTTCTTTTAACACGTAAACCTAGAACAAGGAAAGAATTTTGAAAAATATAATCTAGCTAATAATGAAAACCCATATAAATGTGAAAGAGCACATTTTACCTTCTAGATTTCGTGGTCTATTTACTGGGAACTTATGGGAATTCAGACAAATGAAAATCATTTGATATAAACACTTAATTAGTTATTCGAGTAAAGATCAGCTCAAGTTACAAAAATAATTACTTCGTAATTTTTGATAGAGACTTCTATCGTGTATAAGAAACAATTATATAAAGGCAATGTTTGACAGCTTCTATTTAGACCAGATCCAAAAAAAGGACAGCAAAACTTTCCCTCACGGGTGGTATGTATCAAATTAGTTATATTATATAAAAAATGCGCTAGTTATCCAGGGGTCTGACCTTTCTATTTCTTACTTGATGAGGGCATCCTGCCGGAATAAACACCGCTTCACCAACGTGCTGCTCAAAGGTCCAAGGTTCCACATCTGGTAATTGATTTACAGGAAATAACAAAACATTTCAGTGTTACAACTTACAACTTACAACATCTTGAGGTTAAAAACTTCAAAACGAAAATTTGCCTCAGATGACTTAATACTATATTTCAATTCTTTTGGAAGAATTAGTATATTGCAACTTGTTATCGGATAACTTACTGTACTCTTCTTTAAGCTGCTGCTTATGCCTCTCATTTAAGAAAAGTGTGTGATCATGGATCGGGTGGCAAACCTGTAAAAAGGAAATTTCATGATATAACTAGTTGATCTTAGTATCTACTATGATGGTAAATTGACAAGTAACACGAATAACAATAAATCTTTCCGAAAACTGATGATAGTGGTAATACCGTTCATATATACTTATAATATGCATTAATTCTTACAGAATCTATAGGGGCATGATTGATATGCCTGAATTCTCTCCAATGCTTTCGCAGGTAATCATCTAATTTTGGTACATCCTGCCTCCGGAATATGTCCCAAATGGCACCTCCAGAGGCAGAAGAGGAAGTGCCTTCACTCTGAGAAGATGAGTCCACAGTATCTTTGTAGTGTCTTGATTGAATAAATCTACTCCCACAAAACAGGGAATTTTCAGATGCACCAACCCTGGTTACATGCTTCATTTTACTAGAGACATGAGCATGAACGCCTCTTGAATTGTATAACTCCTCTTCAGCTACATTGTCATGCTCACCATTCATAGTATAATTTTCTAAGAAAAGCTCATCGCCGACTTGATTGCCCAATGTAGCAGTTGTGATATTTCTCCTGCTCCTCAGAGATGTAGATTTTCTCTGTTCAGATATTTCTCCGCCTTTTACTTCCCGCTCAAATTTATATCCTGAATGTGCAGGAATACAGTTGATTTTTGGAGCATGCTCTTCAATGGTTAATCGTTCCATGTAACATCGCTTTCTCCCTATAGCCACATTCTCGCACAAAGAAGTTCCACGAACAGCATCATCATGTCTTAGGAGGTCAGTTTTCTTTAATCTGTACACTTGACCATCCGGAGTCGTTCTTGTATTCAGGTGAAGTTTAAGAGGTATCCTTTGCAAACCCATACCCTTGTGCAGTGGCTTTATTCCAACCTTGTCATCTCTTCCATACAATTCTGACATGTCCTCATCATGATGCTTCTTCTGCATCTCTTTTATTACATCATGTTGCCATGCATGCATTTTCACCTCAGATGTATGTGTCATGATATTTACCTGCCCAGAGACATTGAAAAGGAATAAATATCTTCAATTTTCTATGTTCTAAATGTCAATCAAAATACTTGAAAATTGCACAAACACTCATGAATATTGCGAGACAAAGCAACAGATAAAAGAGAAAAATGGCCAAGAATGCTAACGACATGAGAATATCACATGCATGTTCTGCGATAAAAAATTTCTTGAGCTAGTCTTTGTATAACAAACCCTTGCATGCAATTACAGATAAGATGTTCCCTGGCATATACGCTACGTGCTATCCCACCAAAAGATCTACAAGTACAGTATTGATAAGAAATAAGAACGCAAAATCATGAGATTTAATACAACTTTTGGTACAGTAATAAGTGAAAATAAAAAATTTATTGAAATGCTGATGCATCACTAACTAGAAGTCTAAAAACATGGTCATGAAGCAAAAACTGAACATAGTAAGACTAATTTTCATATGATTTATTTAATCATGGATTTAAATACTTCTATGATTTAAAAACTAGCAATAATTAGAACATATAGGAAAGAGAAGAAGTACAAAGGATATAGATCCAATATTTGATATAGTAAAGTTTTTTAAGTGAAAGGATTCCTTTTTTTTTTTTTTTTTTGGGGGGGGGGGGGGGGG